TAATTGATGTGGAGCATAAACACAGTAAATCTGGATCCAAATTATGTTTAGAGGCCAAGAACTAAAAAGATTAGAAAGAAAAGGAAGAGAATGTTTTGAAGATTATAGGCTTTTCACATACAAGGTCAAAGAAAGGCACTCATCAACAAACACATGATCCTTTCCAGGTAAAGTATTTATTCAGCCAGTCTACAGGAGCAAATAAATAAATATTTGATGAGTGAATATATGCTGGACTTTACTTTCCTGCATACCTGTTCCCTCTGCATTAGCCTATATTATATAGGCAATACAATACAATGCAAGACTCATGCATTGGCCTGAGTCCTACATACAACTGGCAGAAACAATAAAGAGTGATACACTTTTGCTGTTCCAGCAATGTGGTGATTTTATAGCACTCCTATAGACACAGAGGTTTTGTCCACTGTGGACATTTCCTCAGGCAATCAAAATGACTGTATGTTGCTTCATTAAAGGGAAGCAAAACCTTGGTTAGCAAAGCATATTGCTGCACATCTACAGGTCAGCACTTATATAGTGCTATGGCTCTTCACGTTCTCACTTCTTTCAGATATCTGCAGCCACTCTAGAGAACCGACTTGCCCCTACCCCCAAATTGGTAGAACAACAGAGAGAGCAGAAAAGCTTGAGCCCAACCTCCCTGCAACATCAAATGAATGACCAGACCTAGGGAAGAATCTGAACTTGGCAACCAGTAAGAAATTGTTGCTGGATGTCCTGACAGTGCCACATAATGACCTCAGTGTTTACAAAGGGCTTAGTGTCCTTTCTTCTCCTCTGCAAAGCAGCTTGTTTTTCCAGTTTCACAACAAATGTATATAGCTAATCCCTTGTTGTAGACTCTTCCATAATAAACATCACCCTTGATTTAGCTAATGACCACATAACCCTAATAATGCCTTTGATTCCTTCTCTTTCCTGCTTCTGTTGCTAAAGCAAATTCAAGGGTCCCAGTCAAAAGACAGAATTAGAATGCAGCACTGAAAGGGGACAGTGGAATCCACCCCTTGGTCATTCACATATTAAGGGCCTGTAGAATAGAATCCCAAGAAATTGACAGTTTTATCTCAGAGTCCTTCAGAGCTACTAAAGTCTCAAAAACCATGTTCCCAAGTCTTCCAGTATTCAAGGCTGATGGTCTGTATCAGAAGTGTCATACTCAATTTTATCTGGGGCTGCATCGGTATTATGGTTGCCCATCAAAGGGCTGGTTGTATCTGTAAGACTATATAAATGTATCTACTCTTTATCATATTAAATATAATCCTCCTCAATGGATTATTACTGGTTTTAGTAATAACGTAAGTAATAACTAGCTCCGAAAGTAAAAGTCTATGATCAAGTCTAGAAATAACGGCAAGCAGATATTCAAGCGTACAACTATTGTACAATTTATTGAAAAGTGAGTTTTAGTAACAGCTGTTGACACCCGCTCCACAGACCCACCTGTTTGTTTTGTTAATTATTCACAGATGTTTCCCACCTTTCCCTAGGGCTGCCATGGCCCTCAGCCTTCATTATCACCTGGCTCCTCACTCATTTCCTAGCCTACGCGGGAGAGGAGGCAGAGATGGCCGCTCCTAGGCGATGCCATCAAACAGTCCTTGCCGGGAGCCGTAAGTACGGGAGTGGGCAATAGCGTGAACTGCATTTCCAAAGGTGCTGTATGACTCTTCACTGCTTGGAATGCTGAGATTAGAAGTCCCGCTGGGCGAATTCCCAGCATCTTTGTGAGCATTATGGGTGACCGAGTAAGCACCTGCGTATTTTATGCTGCACAGTAGCAGGCAACAATGCAATGGCCACATGAAATGGCCTGGTGGGCCGGATTTGGCCCGAGGGCCATGAGTATGTCACATGTGGTTTACATGTTGGAAATTGCTACTCTGGGTGTCTAATAATAAATAGTGCAATCTTGCACACGTCTTCTCAGAAGTAACATGAGGCATTCAATCTGGCTAATTCCCAGATATGAATGTACAGGATGGTAGAGCTACAAACTGTGACATCTTTGGCCTTAGTTTCAGTTTAACCACCATCTTAGCTTCAGATGAGGCTAAGGCTTAATCCTCACATTTGCACCGCGTCATAACAGTACTGACCTACCTTAAAAGGCTGACATAAAGACTGAAAGATCAGGGCTTAGATCTTAACGTTCCATCAGCAAAGACATCACAACTCATATTTGCACAATGGGGTTATCTCATTGCCCTTTGCCCTCTCCCGCCTTCATATTTTATTGGAGGGCTGGGGATCCCCTAGGAGGGAAGCCTGCAGATCAGGAGAGGGGCACAGAATAACCACCTCCTTTATACGAATTAAGAAATAGGTTGGAATCCATGTCTATTGAAACACCTGAATATAGCACATAGTTCTAATTATTATTATTCATTGTTGTTATTACTAGATGATGGAACACATTCCAATAGTTACAAAGAAAGATTTCATCATGGGCCACAATACAGACAGCACTTACAAGTGTTAGAGAAACAGGTCTCTCTGTGTGTGCTTTTGATACCTCTTTCTCTCAGGAAGCACACACATATAGATAGATCAGCAGCAAACTGCACTTAAAGTATTTATTAATTATCATCATGAACAGCCAGCTCTTTCCACACAGCCACACAACAGATTATTATTAATCTATACTAATAAGAAACAGCAATAAATATGTGTTCTCAGCTTATGAAAAGGCACAATTCCTGAAACATGATAGCTTGCAAAGGGACAATAATATACCAGAGTAACAGAGGATGACATCTCAAAAAATATAAAATAAAAATAAAAGGAAAGGAAAAGAAAGGAAAAGGAAAAGGAAAGAAGAAAAGAAAAAGAAAGCAATTCCCCAATCTTGAGATGTCAACGGAAGGAAGCAGCTCCTTCTCCTTCAACTTGTGATGAGTCACTCAAGATATTTCTCAGGAGTCTGGTTCTTGTGTAGGGTGCTTCTGTGTCACACACTTGCTAGAGAAAATGTGTAACTATCTTTTAAAAACAAATGTGTCGTTTGAAGGTGACAAAATCCCAGGCAGTACCATTATAGAGCACAATTACATTCAAGAAGAAGGGTACCCATTAAGTTTTCTGTTTTATCTTTTTTTTTTTTTTACCAGCATTGGCTTTGAAAAACTACCACTTCTTAACCAAAATGTAGCACTAAGTAGACTTATTTTCAGAAACACAGGTGCAGCCTTGAAATACAGCATGGACAACACGCCCCATACAAAGGCCACACTTACAAGTCCTTTATAAAGAGATATGGAGGAGATTGAAGACAGTCAACCCATTCAGTTCATATTACCACACTGGGATGGTCAATTGTACTTTGCCAGTTTACAGGGTTTCTTAATATCTCATCAAATTCGACTTTATCATGTGTCATCTTAAACAAGGTTCTGTGTGGAAAGGCAGATGATTAAATTTTAGAACAAATTAATTAAAGGTAGAGGTAAAGGTTCCCCTTGACAATTTTTTGTCCAGTCATGTTCGACTCTAGGGGGCGGTGCTCATCCCCGTTTCCAAGCCATAGAGCCAGCGTTTTTGTCCGAAGACAATCTTCCATGGTCACATGGCCAGTGCGACTTAGACACTGAACACTGTTACCTTCCCACCGAGGTGGTCCCTATTTATCTACTCACATTTGCATGCTTTCGAACCGCTAGGTTGGCAGGAGCTGGGACACGCGACGGGAGATCACTCCGTCGTGTGGATTCAATCTTACGACTGCTGGTCTTCTGGCTTTGCAGCACAGAGGATTCTGCGATTTAACCTGCAGCGTCACCATGTCCTTGTTAATTAACTAAATCTGAAGGGAAATTTGTGACTTACATGCCCAAACTGCTTTATCTTAAAAATGCAGCATAACTCTATGTTGTCCTGAAAATGCTCTGAGCCAGTCAAATTTAGTTACTGTCTTAAAATAACCAGAAAAACTGGAAGCCATAAGGAAGTCTGCTGGAGCATTTCCCACTGTGTTGGACTCATTCACACATTTATGCATCAAGGACAGTAGTGTTCCATCATCCAAAAGATATTGCTCTCCTTTAAGGGAGCACAGTGTAAAATTATGTACAGAGCTGTCCCTAACTTTGTCTCAATACTGTATGTCTTCTGTTCACTCATAACTTGCCCAGTAGCTCCACAACAGTGGAAAAGAAATACAGCCATCACAAAATTACTGCTATTGTGGCAAAGGCAGGACCAGCAGTACTGCAACTATGTTAACTGCCTACATGCACTTATGATTTTGAAATCCCTTTGTCTCGGGCTCTGGTTTCAGATGGACATGGTGGGTTTTACCCAGATTAGCCATGCCAGCAGAAGCCAGCTGGTAATAGGAATTGCAGGACCAAGGACAGCAATCAGGCAGCTACAGCAAAAGCTCAACTGGGCTCTTAAGCAGGGCTGCAATTGTTTTTTACCGCATGCAACCTCACCCACAATGTCTTGCTGAAAAGTTGTACAAAAAGGTAGAACCATAGCCTTTAACCTTGAGCTTCAGTGATGTTAGATACCATCCTAGCATGTCTTTACCTCCTTCAGGTGAAGGTTCACCAGTGCTGCTGGTGAGATTTCAGAAAGATAAGAGTCAGAGTTCCAGTGTCAACAACCCCTAGTAGGGAGGTGGAAGGGAAATCCTGAAACAGTTCCCCTTCAGTGGCAATGGTCACAGAAGTCGGTGACATCTCAGGTAACAACCTCCTGGCTCTCACCAGTGGAGGGCTACTATGCAACTAAATTGTGCAAGGTCCTTTCATTCTCCCTCCACCTCAAAGCAAGCTCATTCATCAGGTCTCTAGCCCTCTATATACTATTTTCAGGAGGCTGGTTGGTCTACCATGGTGAAAAGTGGTCATGGAAACCTATTTTCACCAACCCAGTTGAATGTACCTAAAGCTGGATCCAGGTGTGCTGAAAATCGAACAGTCATTTAAAAAAACAAATACAAGGGGGATTGATAGAAACTCAAAACTAACCTCTGAAGGTTTCTTCTCCTTCTGCCTTGACCAACCAGATTTTGTATTTGGATTTCTGGAGCATCTTGAAGCTGATGTTGTCTGACCTTCAGAAGAAAAATAAGGTAAGTTTCTTTAAAAGGATAGGATGAATTCAAGAAATGTCTAACCACAGTCTAACCGCTTTCTGATGTGTAACCAAACAAAAAACAAAAAACCACAAGACAAAACAAAACCCAGCCATTTAACCATAAATGGCTCCATAAGACGCACCTTTCCATAAGATGCACCAATTTTTTAGGAGAAGAAAACAGGAAAATATAATCTGTTTTCTTCGCTCCATAGGACGCACAGACTTTCCACCCCCCTGTTTTGTGGGGGGAAAGTGCGTCTTATGGTGCGAAAAATACGGTACCTGCAGCTATAGGGGGGAGCAATGTATTTCAGATTAAATTATATGAGATGAAACAATTTCCACGTATAATATTAAGATTCCAAAGAAACAGAAAGGTGGGCAAATTGCTTTTTCACACATCAGCTCTCAGAATTCCCAGTCACCAAAGCCACCACCCACGAGTTCATGCTAAAGTATGGAACTTTTCTAAGTTCCACCTTCAATATTATTCAGACATTTGGAGAGTCTGTGACACAGGTCTCTTGCCTGCACTCCTCCTCCTTGAAATCTTCAGCCTTTGCTTTAGAAATTCAACTAAGATTAACATAAACTCAAAGCTGTTGGTATCTGCCTTCTTCACTGTTCTTGGACATAGCCAGGGGTTTCCATGTGGTGTTAATGCTATCTCTGATTGGAGATGATGACTTCAAGAAGAGTCACTTTCCAGAAAAATTTGTTAAACTCCCCATTAGTCCTCTTTCACAATAATCTGTCAAATTGCCATCTCTGCTCTAACATTTTAAACATGCTTGACACAAGGAGCAAGTTCAATATAAGTAAAATTAAATGTCCTCTCTCTCTTCACACTCTAGTTATTTGTAAACTTTAGTTATTTATAAAAATCACTTCTTTAAAGTGACCTTGATATTTCCCTGTACAAAAACCTGTAAACTCTTTAATTTAAAGACCATTTACTTCTAGCCATCTGGGAGAATAATTTGTTCAGAGACTTCTTCCTGCTCCTCCCTCAATACTAATCATATTCATTCTTGATACCTAGCAAATATGAAAATGCCCTATACTGATTTAATGTTCAGCCCCAGTTTGTTTGTGTTTTACTTATATTGGACATAATTTTTTTAAAGACCACTCTCTATCCCAAACTTCATGGTTATAGTCTCACAAGGTGAACACTCCTAATACGCTCAAAATAAACTTCAGGTAATTGCTTCTCTTTTTTAAAAGAGTATTTCCTATTGACAATCGCCTTGCTATATAACATCTGTTTATTTAAGGCTATAGAAATCAGTGCTTTGAACATCTTCCACTAGTAAGGGGTGATATGAGTGTTGATACAACAACAATAACAGCGGAATAAGTGTTTCAGCAAAACCTTGCCACAGTTACTTATCAAATGACAACCCTGACAATCTGGAAACATGGCAAGAAATGTGAGGTTTGCAGCGAAAGAGCCTGGCAAGAGCCCTTATGGGGATTTCAAGTACCTTCAACAAGCCTTTAATTTCGCTGGTCATGGAGTCCTTCACAAGAAGGGCCAAGTAACTCGCACAAGTGTGTTCATAGAATGAATAGGTTTCAGAGGTTCCACACGCTCAAGGTTTATAAACTGTTATTAAACGTGTTAATCTCTTCTCATGTAACCAAAAGCTAGACAGGGTATTTGACAAAACCACCAATTTGAACATGGCCTCTGCAATTCAGCATAAGGCCACAAACCTCTATTCTTTTACCTTTCAGTTTGAATAGTCTGTGTTTCTTTTCAGGTGCTCTATTCTGAACCCTTAGAGATATTATGGCTTCTTAAAAGCTCTGTCCTCAAAGCAGCATAGATAGCTACAGAAAATTGTTGCAACCTTTGCTTTAAAGTGGAGGTAGTCCAAGCACAGGCCACAGTTTGATTGCAGCCCACAAAGCCCCTACAGAGCCTCCCGAACACCCAAAATTTAACATATTGCTAATTATTTAGACCTAAATACAGTCCTCACATTCCCCCAAAGGCCTCTGGGAAAGACAATTTGCCACATCCAAGAACAGATTTAGGCTTTGAAGGGCAATATTAAAAAAGCTGGTTGGATAACTCTGTGCAGAGCACTTGGTTGTAGAGCCACAAGTTGGGAGTTCAGTTCCCCAATAGAGCGGACCCTCGACTTATGGACTGCTCCACTTGCGAACTTTTTGAGTTACGGACTTCTCCGGCCACAAAATTTCACTTCAACATGCGGCCAGAGAATCGACCTACGGACCGGAAGGGGGAGGCGCCAAATTCAAATTTGGCGCTTTCCCTGCCTCCTCCTTCTGGTCCGTAGGCCGCCGATCATGCCTCTGGATGCCTTCCAGGGCTTCTCCGCTGCCATGGGAGGCCTCTCAGAGGTCATCTGCCACCACCACGACTGGCTTTCCCAGGGTACACCAGGCCTACCAGGGGAGGTCTACTGGGCTTTCCTGGGGAGTAGACCAGGCCTACCGGGGGAAGCCCTGGTCATCTTGACTCCCGCAGACTCGCTATGGTGCATTTTACATGAGGTTGTCTTTTAACGCTGTTTCAGAAGCTTCAATGTGTCCAGAATACAGACGTCCACGTTTTCAGGGTTAAGAGTTAGAATATATAAGAGATTTTGTACCATGTTATATATTCTGTAGGTGCCTCTACATTTTCAGGCTCAATTTAAGAGTTAGTGATCACTTTTAAAGCCCTCAAGAGTATAGGACCAGGTTACCCGAGGTACTGGCGACATCTATATCAACTTCCAAGGCTGTATGATCAATCACGGAGGCCCTGAACATGTGCCTCCTGTAAAATTTATTAGACTGGCAGACATAACAAAGAGGTTCTTTCCTTTGATGGTCGCATCCTGGTGGAATACCCCAACGTGAGTTAGGGACATGGCTATTTTAAAGTGATTTTAATGATTTGGAGGTTCTAGGTCATTTTTTTTAAATAACCAAGATCCATCTTTATTTGCCGCTATTCTAAATTGTTTTCTGCTATTTTAATGAACTGTATTTTATCTTTCATTGCCCACAATCCCATTTGCTTATGCAATTACATAAGGATGACTGAATAAGATCTTCTGCCTCTTGATTGTTTATCCTTGTGACTTCAATCTTGCACTGGTTGCAAAATGGGGTGTGTCTGTGTGTGCCAGGTTGTGTGAGTTACCTATTTATTTATTTATTTATTTATTTGTTTGTTTGTTTGTTTGTTTGTTTGTTTGATTTTTACCCCACCCCTCTAGACCATGTCTACTCGGGGCGGCTTACAAAATAAAACAAAACAGTATAAAAATATATAAAATCATAAAATTACAAATTTCAATTTAAAACAATTAATTTAAAGAAAGGATTACCAAGATGGAATAGCCAAAAAAAAAAGTTATGAGTTTTGGGCTCATAACTGTGAACAAGCAGGTGACCTTACTATCAGTGTGTAACATACATTGTCTCTGAAGACTAAAAGGGAGTGGAACTTAAACATATATAGGTTGTGTTTTATAAACCTAGGCTATCTGTGGTATTTGCTGTTATTTTGCAGACAGATTTTGCAAAATGAATATATAGTAAACCTAACCATCCTTAGTTAGGTTTTTTACACCATGCTGCCACTCTTGCATGGGTTGAAGAACATTGGAGATCACAGCAATGTGTTCTGCTTATAGCCTTGGGACTTTACTTATTTATTTTATATCCTACTTCTCTGAGAAAATAAAGCAGCCAAGACTAACAAAAAGAAAGAGGCCTATAGTTGTATATTTGGTGTAACAAATAATCAAGTAAATGTGTTCTTATTCTTCTCATTTTGCATTTGCATATGTCAGGTCATCAACACCACTACTATCAACACCTTAGAACTGCAGAGCTAAAAGAGACTCTATGGATCAGAGTCCAACCCCTGTCAAGGAGGAACAGGACTCCAAGCCAGATACATAAGACACTGTAGGTAAACCTATGTTTAGAATGAACCTGAAGGACAATATGAAGAGGCAAATGTGGTTGAACTGCAGCTGCCATCAGCTCTAAGTTAGCAAAGCCATACAGGGCTTAGAGTCCAATTCCATCTAGAGAGCCACAGTCACATACTCCTGTGTCATTAATGTTAGGAATTTTGAATCCCTGGCCACATCTCAGTTGGTATCATCTGGCTTCAAATACCAGTCCTTTCAACTGGAGATGTCCGACATATTAAAATCAGGCCTTTCCACAGGCAAGTAGTAGCAGTGCACTGTGCAATGGAAGGGCTTGCCTCTTTGTCAAAGTAACCCCTTATAGCTTCTGACTAAATGTTTAATATCCTTTCTTTACTTTACCCCCACTCTACCACAAACACAGATACTCTCAAACCTTTCTAGTACTTTTTCAGGGCTACTGAGGGTTAATGCACTGTTCATCACTGCACTAAACAGCACAACCTTATCTCTGCTGGACTTTGGTATTTATGCAGCAGGTGATGTTTTTAGCTGTTGACAAATGCTCTCCTGCAGCATAATTGTAAGCACAGCTATGACCTTCCCCTTCCAGGAACAGGCAAGTAGCTGCATATTGTCACACGGTCTTAAATGCCACATCTTGCACCTTGTGACTAAAGGTAAACTAAGGGATAGGGAGTTGATGTCAGGATTTCAGAGTGTTTGCAAACAAAATAACATGTGCTCATGCTGAAGGTCCAAAGCTCCATTTCTTCAGTACATGAAGGGTTGGTTTTTCACTCAGCAATTTGCTTGCAAATCTCAAAAACAGACACTATACTTACAATAAATTTAGAAAGAAAAGGTCCCATCTGGTACTTATATACTAGAGAAAAACAGTAGCGGGCAAACCCCCAAAATAATACTCCAAAGTAGCAAACACTGAGACTTTGCTTCCCCTGCGCTTACCAGTTTTCAGTTTTAAAAAACCGGCAGGACAGGACCTTGTATAAAACAGCCAACACACTGCTTTCCAATCTATCTTAAGTCTACTTCTACTTTGATGCAGAATCATTTCAAACAGGATGCTTCCTGCTGGCTTTGACTGTCACCAGCCTATGTTGTCATTTATTTGGTTGCTTGAATTTTTAATGATCAAAACCGTACTTCATCTTTCTACCCCAAAATGGCACACAGCAATGTTCAAATTAGAAGAATACTGTAAAAACCTCAAATCAAAGGTAAAGCAAAATTTATAAAGAAAATAACAGCTCCCTTCCATCATGCCCAGGGTCAATACCAAAAAAAGTATCTCGTGAATAAAACAGGGCCAGCTGATCCTCCCTTGGGAGAGAGAGTGGCAGAGTTTGGGTGTGGTCACACAGGAGTCCTTTCTTGCATCCCCACAAAACATGTTTCTGAGGGTGGTAAGGCCAACCTATGGGCCTCACACGAAAATCTTAGCAACTTAGCAACTGACATTCAAGAGAATGCCTTTCAGACAACTGGGTCCCAAGTGGACTAGGGCTTTACAATTTCTAACTAGCACTTCAAGTTTTGCCCAGAACAAGATCACTAGAGAAGCCCTTTTAACTATAGGCTCTAGACAACAGTGGGGCCAAAGCACTGTAAACCAGGTGAAGCTTTCAAGGGCACTTCAAAAACACACTCAGTTGAGAGTTTGTTAGCCACAAGTCTGAACAGGATGGAACTGAGGTATCCCCTGCCAAGGAAATGAACAGCAAAGTTCTGCCTAATAAAGGCTTTATGTGGGTTAACGCTTTGTCATCATCTGTATTTTACATCTTCCTCTGGTCCATATTGTTTGCAGGAAGAGGAGGACACTTGGATCAAACCAAAGGCGATATCTAAGGGGGGGGCTTAACTTCTCGTGGCATATTTTAGAAGCAATTCCTAAATACAATTTACTGTTCAGGGACTACCCAATAAACGCAGTTCTCCCAGCTGTCTGCAAAGTAATTATTCAAATGCTTTCCCTGCTGGAGGTGAACGGTTTAGTTATCTTGTCCTAAGCCTTGAATTAAAGGTCTTACTGTCAGTGGTGTCTGAGTTATCGCTGCTGATCGAGTACTTTCGGCGTTTCTCTTCCATCTGCAACAAAAGAAATGGAAAATTACACTTACTGTTCAGGAAATTAATTATGGCACCAAATCACTGTTATCTCAGGGTATCCACACATCGTATTAACCCAACCACACTAGTGAATACTTAGCCTAATGACAAAGAATGACCAGGGAGCTTAAAGAGTGAAAAAGAACATCACTGAACTTTGAGAACACTTTTCTTCCCAAACTCTCTGCCACTGGAATGTATGTGTGCACCTTATTTTCCATCATGCAGCATTCACAACTACCATAACATCCACATCAATTCTGCAATAAATACAAGTTTAAGGAATTTTTAAAAAGAACGTGAACTAAATATGGAACCAAGTGACTATGAATCACTTGCTTAATAGACCAAAGAAGCAAATTAATGGGGGGGGGGGTGAGGGAGGCTTTAGAAAGCATCTGCTACCCAAAGTTGTAGTAGCACAGACCTTTAGCCTGAGTTCAAACAGAAAAAGGTTAAAACCTATTTAATCTCTTGGGCTTCCATTTAATTTAGAACAGCAGTCCCCAACCTTTTTAGCCCCGGCTGGGGAAGGCAGGGCACCCCCTAAACTCGTGCGCATGCGCGAAGGGCGACACAGTACTCGTGTGGGCGCACTCACATGCAGGCGCAAACGGGCTGGGGGAAGTATATGCGGGGTTCAAACAGAAAAAGGTTAAAACCTATTTAATCTCTTGGGCTTCCATTTAATTTAGAACAGCAGTCCCCAACCTTTTTAGCCCCGGCTGGGGAAGGCAGGGCACCCCCTAAACTCGTGCGCATGCGCGAAGGGCGACACAGTACTCGTGTGGGCGCACTCACATGCAGGCGCAAACGGGCTGGGGGAAGTGTATGCGGGGTTGGGGGTGAGGTCTCTCTCCGCAGCCCAGTCTGACTCAGGCCACGAACCAGGATTTTAGGACTTTCTCTCCAGAGTGAAGCCTGTTAGAGGCATCATATATAGAATACTTACAAAGTTTTCACATTAGATTGGGAGAAATGGCCCCAACAATGTTTGCCCATAATTAAGTGTTCTGTATGAGGATTGTTTAAGATAGCAATCTCCTAATGAGCTTCTGTAATTACATACACTGTAATTTTGTACACTGCAATAAATAGATAAAATCAACTGTTGAATTTGATTTGATTTTACAAATATTTACAACTGAACCTCTTACATAGCACATTCATAGCTTTAAGCATAATTCCAGCTCCATCAGCAATTTATCTATACATAGCTATTCCAAGAGCATTTTAATATTTTTTCTGTGAAACTGGTTTGTAGTGATGGGATTTTTGAAATTAACAGACTCCCAGTCCCATAACTTAGCAATACCCTCCCAGGCTGAATTATGAGACTGAGAGCCCTCAAACCCGCAAGACGTATAGCGGCCCTCTTCCCTCTAGACCAGTGATGGCGAACCTATGGCACGTGTGCCACAGCTGGCACATGGAGCCCTTTCTGCTGGCACGCAAGTCACTGGATCGCTACTCCCCTCCCCTCCGCATCCAAACCTGAGCAGGCGGCTGCAACAACGGTGCTGGTGCCCAAACAGGTGGTGGGTCAGGATCCAGAGCAGCTGGTTCTGGCGGCTGATCTGGAGTGGGGTCTCAAGGCACTTCCAAGCCCAGGATTCCCCATTCCGCCGCCACTTCCGGTTCTGTGGTGGCAGCACACCATCCCATTTTTGGTGGGGTTTTCAGGATCCAGAGCAGCTGGTTCTGGCGGCGGATCCGGAGTGGGGTCTCAAAGCACCTCCAAGCCCGGGATTCCCCCTTCCGCCGCCACTTCCGGTTCTGTGATGCCAGCACACCATCCCATTTCTGGTGTGTGTTTTTTCCAGTTTGGGCACACGAGCCCAAAAAGGTTCACCACCACTGCTCTAGACCATTCCCATAGCACCTCTTGAAACCATGATAAACATGCCGGGCCACACTGTGAGTCACAAAGATTTCTTGAAACATGTAGAGGTGCATGGGTGGATGAGTTCCAATGAAGGCAGGCTCCATACACTCTTTAAGGGGGCACCCTCCAACAGGACTCATTCTCCCATGCACCTCTGAGCTGCAGAGACTCCTCGTGAAGCAGCACAGGAACAGCATGGAAGTAAGCAGGCTGCTCTGCCTCTTGCTAGTTTGAGGGCTCCCCATCCCATAATTCAGCTTGGAAAGGTTTCTACCAAATTATGTAACTGGAAGTTCATTAATTCCAAAACTCCCATTCCTACTAATATGTCAATTTTATACAAATGTCTTAATAAATTAAGTATGAAGTATATGGATTAAGGAGAACATTTGTGGCCCTCCAAATATGGCAAACTACAACTCCCATGAGCCACACCTTGCATGGCCAACAGTAATAGGTATGGAGAGGTGCAGTCCAACAATATCTGAAGGACCAAATATTCATCATCCATGGCACATGGAATTAGAGGATTCTGTGTGGAAGCTTGCGCTGAAACAATATTCAGATACCTATTTAAAACCATTCAATGACATTTCAGAAAGAATCTGCATCCTTTCTTCCTTCCTTCCAACTGTTAGTACGTCATCTTCCACCAAAAATCAAACATTATCTAAACTGCATCGAAAACGCTAATTTTAATTTAGCTCATAACACCCATGCTACAGGACTCTGTAACAAACCGTGCCTTGAAGTTTAGAAAAACCCCTGTGCTCTACTGGTTAACTCTCCTCTTCACATCAGTATATACATAGTGAAAACATAAGTAAATGCTGCAATGATCTGAGTTCACTCTAAGCAACATTTAAGGTGGTTTTATGTATGACACTAAAAATCCCAGTAAAACTCTCCAACATTATTTGTGAGCACAACTCAATGTTGTTCCTGCAAAACAAGCTACACTTGAAAAGAGCAACTGTGCTTGACGCTAATCCATGTTCCTACATCAGTGTATCTATGCTATAGCACAGACGGGCAGGTATGCATCCATGCAGAGCCCATAAATCAGATATGTATCAACATCAGTTTGCCTTGCATTACACAGGACAGACGTCTCCAAAGTTATTTCTAGGATTAGCAGTCAACATCCTAGATTTATTCATTTAAGAGACCTATTACTCAGTAAATAAAAGTCATGTTCCTACTTTCCACCGACTTAAGGGATCATAGTAATGAGAGTACTTCTGAAACTCTCTCCTGAGGGAAAGGTAGACGGCCAGAGCACACAGCGCATCCAAAGTGCGAAGTGATTTGTCAAGAAGTGTTTGAAGAGCAGCGAAAAATATGGGTAACATAACTGGCTGAGATGCATGGAAATAAGAAACAACTTTAGGTAAGAAAGTGATACATGGAATAAGGTAACTTTACTTTTGTAAAACTGAAGAAACAGGTTAGTTCAGAGAACAGAGTTTACTTGCATGTTTCACCAATGTTGACAAACAAAATAGTTTTGAAGGTCAGCAGTCTAATGTCAACTGCCACCATAGGCTCGACGGGCGGTCCCATTAACTGTGTGAAGATTAGAGTTTGGGGGGGGAGACCACAGGTGGCCATGTGGTTGGGGTGCAGAATCAACCCATTAGTGTGCATTCACAGAGGCCACGAAGAAGAATCTCTGTTTTAAAGAGAGGAAAAATCTCATCACTGTTTCTTGAGAAACAGGCACTTTGATAGACAAAATAAATTCAAGTAATGTGGTCCACTTGTAGGCGTAGGATTTTCTCATGGAAGGCTTAGTAGAAGCGGCAAAAATCTTAGTCTGAGTTTGGAAGAGTTATGTTTTTCAGGGGCTCCACTGCTCTAAAGGAAGAAATCTTCCATGGTGCTTGTGGGCTTTCTGGTCGTTAAGAGACTGAGTCAATGGATTTTGTGGATTTCTCCCAGAGATAAGATTACAGCCTGGTGAGCTGATTTTTTTCAAAGTGATGTGAGTAAAGTCCTTATAAAATTTACACTTTTCTGTAATGGGCCACTCAGACAAAACAGGCATTTATTGTATCTGCCAGAATGAGGCACTTTGCCCCCCCCCATCCAGCAACATACTTCTTGAGAAGAGCCACGGAGACCATAAAATTGAGGCAGGAAACAAGAGAAGTCTGATAATGCTGAGACAATGATAACACTATTTTTTTAAGCGTCAGGGGGAAATTAGGAACTAGAAGAGGCAAAGGAAAGGCAATTTACAGTTCAAAGTGTTACAGCGGACCCTCGACTTACAGACAGCTCGACTTACAGACTTTTCGAGTTACAGACTTCTCTGGCGGCAAAATTTAGATTCGACTTGCAGCCAGAGAATCGACCTACAGATCAGAAAAAAACCTAAATGGAACAAAAATAGAATAAAAACTGCCAGTTATGGGATTAATCGGTTTTCAATGCATTGTAGGTCAATGGAGATTCGACCTACAGACTTTTCGACTTGCAGCCACTGTTCCAATACGGATTAATTCCGTAAGTAGAGGGTCCACTGTATAGAATTCTAGGTAAGTAAGGTTGCTGCATTCTCTTGAGATGCTGCTCCTACAGTAAACAGAGGAGAACTAGGGGAGAGCTATTAGGATGTGCCTGGTTATAGGCAGTGGTGCCTGGAAGAGGGGGGGGACGCTTCTCCTTAGGCTCTAGAAAATTCTGGGGCTGTTTTCTGCACAGGCACAGAACCTCGTATGTGTGATTCACAGAGATCACTATGAAAAAACACGAATTCCCAGTTACACCATTTCATAACAAAAGCTTTATCACAGAGAGAGGGGGGGAGGGAGGGAGGGAGAGGTAGCAAACCTGCTTAGAACAATTTGCAGAGGGTAATACAGCTTAATCTGTTGTACCAAAACCAACACAGTCCTGTGGCACCTGGAAGAGTACCAAATGTGTTACAGCATATGCTTTTTTCAACCACTGCCCACTTTGGCTGATGCATGAAATGTTATCCAGACGGTCAGGTACAAATACAATAAAGAGTGAACGCTTGAGGTCAAAGGGAAGTCTTCAGAAGCTTGAAACCGGATAAAAGCTGTCTTATCACATTACACATCTTAGC